TTCTTCAGGGGGCAGCTCGTCCTGGGGCACCTCCTCGAGCAGTGGTTCATTGGGGGGCAGTTCCTTGAGGGGAAGTATGCTGTGGGGCAGCTCATCAAGGGATGGATCACCGGGGAGTAGCTCCTTGAGGGGGGGTCTGTCAAAGGATGGCCTCTCAAGGGGCAGCTCATCAGCTGGCAGCATGAGAGGAGGGGGCTCCTCGGGGGGCTGCACGAGAGGAGGGGGCTCCTCGGGGGGCTGCACGAGAGGAGGGGGCTCCTCGGGGGGCAGCTTGTTGAGGGGCAGTTCATCAGGGGGCGCCTCCACAGAGGTCAAGTCGCTGGGAGGAGCCCCACCATCGCCCGGGGGTGCCTCATTGGGGGTCTCCCCTTGCTGCATCTCCTCCTTGCACCCCGCAGGCTCAGGTCGGGGGACAGGCGTATCTGTTGGCTCACTGCGGTCGGGGGACGCCAACCTGGATGGGGGAACCATGTGAGGGGAAGGGGGCTCAGGCCACCGTGTCCCCAGGGTCACAGGACACAAAGGGGACACCCAGCCCAACACCTCCACAACCAGTCACCCCAACCCCACTCACGTCTGGGCGGGTGGGTCCGGTGGTGGCACGTGTGCTGGTGCCCCGTGGGTGCCCTCAGCTGTGTGGCGCTGCTGGCAGCCCTCGCACACCGAGTAGCTCTGGTACCACTGGCCGGCAGGGTGCCGGCCACAGTCCAAGCAGACCCGGCAGTTCTAGGGGGGAGGCAGAGGCACATCAGGGGTGGGTAGAGGGTGGGAGCACCCCTGTACTCCATTAGTGAGAGCAGAACCCACCTTGCACTTCCAGGAGTCGGTGGGGAGCCCCTCGATGGCTGGTTCCATACAGAAGGTGTGATAGCCCTTGTCGCACGCCTCGCAGACCAACATCATGGAGTCCTCACCGGGCTGCCTGCAGGGTGCAGGGGGAAGGGTTAGGGTTGCGTTCCCCTCCCATGCACCCCTCGTTGTCCCCCTGTTGCAGGGACGTGAGCTCACCTGCAGGTTTGGCACACTTTGCACTCGGGGCACTGCCAGCCTGAGCGTTTGCGGGGCGTCAGGGTGATGTCCAGGCAGGCCCCATGGTAGTGCTGCCCACAGCTGGTGCAGAAAACCAGGTCCTGCAGGTCCCCCGGCCCATCACACACTGAGCACCGGGCATCCTCTGGACGTGGGGAGAGAAAAAGGCTGTCAGATCCACCCCCTCACCAGGCTCTGCCTCCCTAGGGCCCCCCTCCAGAGCGGGAGGGGACCTGGGACCCCAGCCCGCTCGCACCCATCTGCACGGCCTCGGCCACGTGCTCAGGACACAGGAGCCGCAGGGTCTTCACAGACTGGAAGCAGCCGCTGGCAGCAGCGCAGGGAAAGTGGTAGAGGCGGGGGCAACCAGCTACCCAGCACGGGATGGTGGCCCCCATCCGCCGACAGTGTTCACATTTCTGAAAGCAGAGGAGCCCGGCGGGGTCAGAGATGCTGTTCAGGGCCAGGCTGAGCCCTCACTGTCCCCCCCCCAACCTGCTCACCTGTGAGATCCCTGAGAAAACAGCTCTGTCCACACCAGCCAGCCCTGCTGCCTCCTGCTCCACGCCGGCCGACCAGGCTGCGCACCAGCGGTGGACCCAGCAGTGCCCTGTGAGGAGGGGGTGTCAGGGACAAGGGGGGGTCCCCAGGCCAGGCAGGACACCCAGGGAGGTGGGATGAGGACCGCAACGCCGTGACTGCACTTACCTGTCGGCTCAAAGAGCTGCGCTGGAGTTACCCGCTCGGAGAAGCCGATCTGTGCCAAGTGGTCACCTGCCACCTCCAGCTCCTGGGGGAGCTGGCCAGGACCCTCGGGGGGCTTGTAGCCTGCCAGCCGCTCGGGCCAGTCAGGCGCCGGCTCAAAGCGCTGTAGCTCCCGCTGCCCATGTGGGCTCCAGTCCCCACAGTTGCAGAGAGCGCAGCGGCGGGCTGCTGTGCTGGGGCTGAGGAGGGAGGGAAGGAAAGGGGGTGTAATGGACACGTGGGACCTCCCAGCCAGCTCCATGCCACCCCCGAGCCCTGCTGTTCCTCACCTGCTGGCCTGGGGAGGTCCCTTTGTGTCTGTGCTCTCTGGCTCCGGCCCGGCGGAGGCGCCTTCAGGGGGTTTCAGGGGGTCCCCCTCTGCGCTGCCCATCCCCTCCAAGGCCTCGGCCCCATCAGCTGCCAGAAGAGCAGGTGTCAGCCACCCTGGTTTTGGGGACACAGCCCCCCCCAAACACACCCTGCCCTGCCCCAGGCTCACCTGGCACCTCTGTGTTCTTCTCCTCGCTGGGCAGCTTCTCTTCGTCCATCCTGCCTGCGGCGTCCCTCGGGGGAGTCCCGCAGCTGCGAGGGGGGGGAGATCCATCAGCACAAAAGCAGAGGAGCCCTTCCCTGCCCCCACTCACAACCCTCCACCCCAGGGACAGGGCAGCCCCCTCCAACAAGTTTGTGGGGTCTCAGCACAGCAGAGGCATCCCTCCCTGCCAGGAGCGAGTGGCACGTCCCGGTTCCCCGAGGTTCCACAAGACCCCGTGTCCCACAGCAGGGATGGTGCCCCCCACTCCCCTGTCACCCGCCAGCTCCCAGATCCCTCCCAGGTTGGAGTGGGGACGGCACAGCAACACCCCGGGGCAGCTCCCCACCGATGAGGCCACACAGGACCTGGGGCTCCATGATCATAATTAAACCCAGGGGGGGTGGGGCAAGGGAGGAGTGACCCCGACTCCATGGCACACCAGCACCCCAAGGGGTCCTCGGGACCCCAAGGAGGCCCCAGACCCAGCAGAGGCAGCACCGGCTCGGGGGTCGGGGGCAGGAAAGCACTCCCAGTGCTCATGGCGAAGCTGGGACGCCCCCAGTGCCTCCTGCCGCAAGGCTGGGTGAGATTCAGGGTGCAACAATAACGTGGGGTGCCCGAGGTCCCCCCCTCAGCACCCAGCTGCTGCCTGTGCCTCAGTTTCCCCAGGGCAGGAATCAACACAGCTGAGCCCCCCAGGCACCAGGGTGGTCCCAGGATGGGGGGGGGGGGTTTCACCCCCAAAACACCACGACCAAAGCCAAGGGGAAGCCGTGCCCTCACCCTCAGCCCTGACCTCACCCCCATCTGCCAGTACTTCACACACACCCCAAAAACCCAACGGGGGGGCAAGCAGATGCCGGGGGGGGGGGGACCGTAAGCCTCGTGCGGGGGAGAAGCCCTGGGAACCCCCCTACCCCGACACAACCAACGCGCTGGGGCAGCTCCCAGCACCCCAAAACCCCGGCTGCCCCCTGAGGCGCCGTGGCAGCAGGTCGCAGGAAGCCCCCGGCCGGGCACGGCGGGGCCCTGGCCCGAGAACGGGGAGAGCGCCCCTCGCCAGCAAATCCGCTCCGGTTCCCCGGTAATCCCGGGGGGGGTGATTAGGGCCCCCCGGGGCTGCTCTACGCTCCACGGGAAGGCCTCGGCGTGCACCAGGGATGG